AGCCTAACAGTACTAAAAGTTTTTTTGCATCTATCATAGAACTTCAAGATGTATTAAGCAAAAATGATAGAACTTTAAAGGAGAAAAATGTTCACAATTAATAGCTGAATACTCAAACACTCCTCTCTAAGTAAGCTATAGATAGAAAATCACCACGACTGTAAGGAACTGAACAGCATCATCAACCACCAGGATCTAAAAGACATTTATAGAACACTCTACCCAGCAACAGCAGAGTACACATTCTTTCAAGTGCACAGGCAGCATTCACCAAGATAAATAGTATCTTGGGTCATAAAACAAACTTTAAGGGCCAGCAGGTGGCATGGTGGTTGGGGTGCTAGACTCCTGTGTGGCTACCGCAGTTTGAGTCCTGGATCCGGACACTTGAAAATCATGCTAGCTGTGTGTGCGTGCATGCCCAAAATCCTGAGAGGATATTGGAGGAGAAGGGGCTGTGGCGTGGCTATCCCCCTGAGGGGTGATTTCTTACTTTCCTTCCCTCTGACTCTTTCCAGTGAGCATATCTGCCCTATGTGAAAACCCAAAAACAAAAACAGAAACTAAGAAACAAACAAACAACCTCCCCCCCACCCAAACTTTAATAATTTAAGAAGAGGGACCGGCAGGTGGTGTAATGGTTATGTTGTTGGACTCCCATATGGTCAACTGTGGTTTGAATCCCAGACCTGTTTGCTTGAAACTCATGCTGGGCGTGTGTGTGTCTGTGCCCAAAATTCCAAGAGGAGAATGGAGGAGAAGGGATTGTAGCATGGACCATCCCCCCTGAGGGGTGATTTCTTGCTTTCTGTCTCTCTGGCAAGTACATGTTCCCTATAACAAAAATCTCTCTACAAAAAAACAACAGAACAACAACAAAAAAACCCCAACAGTAGTAATGATTTAAAAGAAATAAAATTATGTAAAGTATATTCTCTTATCATAATGGAATTAAACTAGAAATCAATAACAAAGGCAAAATTAAAATTCCCAAGGACTTAAAAATCAGATAATACATTTCTAAATAATCCACAAATCAAAGAGGAAGCCTTAAGAGAAAACAGAAGATATTTTGAACTGAACAAACACACAAACATGGAAACAGAGCTTAAAATGCATAAGATGTAGCTAAAGCATGATTAGATAGAAATTTATAGTATTAAAAAAGTAGAAAGATTGTAGGTCAATAATTGAATATTCTGTTAAAAATGAGAAAAAGAAGAGCAAGATAAACCTACAACAGGAAGAAGAAAGTAATAAAGATAGGAGCAAAAACTAATGAAATTGAAAACAAACAAACATAAAATGTAGAGAAAATTGGGACCAGCAGATGGTATAGTGGTTATGTCACTGGACTCCCATGTAGTGGTCTGCGGTCTGAGTCCTGGACCCAGCAGTTTAAAACTCATACCAGGTGCACGTCCGTGTGTGTGTGTGCCCAAGATCCTGAGAGGAGAATGGGAGAGAAGGGATTGATATGTGACCATCTCCCCTGGGGGGTGATTTCATGCTTTCTGTCTCTCTGGTGAGCACACATACCCTATAATAAAAATCTCTTTCTAAACAACAACAACAACAGTGTAGAGAAAATACATTGAAACAAAAGCTAGATTCTCTGAAACGATCAATAAAATGGATGAACCTCTACAAGACTGAAAAAGAAAGAGGGCACAAATGATGAATATTAGAATGAAAATGAGATCACTATAGACCACACAGATATTAAAAGAATAATAAGAGAATTACTGTAAACAACTCTATATGTATAAATTCAACAATTTATTTTAAACGAATGAAATAATATTAAACTACACATTGCCAAAACTCACCCAGGATGAAGTTGATAACTGAGTAGTTCTATAACTATTACAGAAATTGAATCTAAAGTTCAAAAACTTTTGGAAAAAAAATACCAAGCTGTATTTAAACACTTAAAGACTAATTTTCTATAGTTTATTCTAGAAAATAAAAGTGATGGGAACGGTTCCCAACTCATGTAATGAGGTCAGAATTACCCTGATATCAAAAGCAGGCAGACAGCACCAAGAAAACAAAACTGTTGACTCATATTTTTCATGGACATAAATGCAAAATAGTCAATGAAATATGCAACAATATGCAAGGAGGATAGTATATTATAACTTTGTGGGCATTTATTAGGAACGCAAGTCTATTTTCTATTTGAAAATCAATAAATATAAGTCACTGTAGAACAGCCTAAAGAAGAAAAATATAATTATAGCAATTGATCCAGAAAAAGCATTTGGCAAAATTCAGCACCTATTTATAACAAAAACTCTGAGAAACCAGCAATAGAAAGAAGCTTTCTTGGGACCAGCAGTTGGTGTAATGGCTATGTTGCTGGACTCCCATGTAGTCAACTGCAGTTCAAGTGTCAGACCCGGTGGCTTAAACTCATGCCGAGCACATGTGCATGTGTGCTCAAGATCCCGTGAGGAGAATGGAGGAAAAGGTATTGTATGTAGTGTGGCCATCCCCTCTAGGGGGTGATTTCTCACTTTCTGTCTCTCTCTGTCTTTCTGGCGAGCACATGCGCCCTATAGCAAAAAAAAAAAAAAAAAAGAAAGAAAGAATGAAAGAAGCTTTCTCTGGCCAGCAAGTGGTATGGAGGTTGAAGTGGCTGGGTCCCACATGGCCACCTGTGTATTTTGAGTGCCATACTCTCTTTCAGTTACTCTCCAATGAGTGCATGCACTCTGTAGCAAAAACAGAAAACAAAGCAAAACAAAACTTTCTCAACCTTATCCAAGGTATCTATAAAAACCCATCATACTTGTACCATCATATTTAATAGTGAAGGACTGAATGCTTTTCCCCCAAGATCAGCAAGTGAAGCATGTACACTCTTAGCATTCAGCATCCTATTTAACATTGTACTAGAAGTTCTAGCCAGCATAGTAAGTCAAGAAAACAAAAGACATGTGCATTGGAAGGAAGAAATAAAACTGTCCTTATTTTCAGACAACATGATTATCTATGCAAAAGATCCCCAAAGAATCTACAAAACAAAACAAACCCTAGAATGAGTAAGTGAATTTACTGTTGTTGCAGGATAACACAGGAGGTCAACATGAAAAATCAGTTGTATTCTATAACTAACAATGAACAGTTGGCAAGCAAAATATAAAAAGCAGTATTTTTTTTTTTTTAACAAATTCTCCACCTTCTAAGTGAATCTAATAAAGGATGTACAGGATCTGTATACTGAGAACTATACAACAGTCCTCTGCTGAATCATTGTTCTCATTGCGGTTACTCTTAGATAAATCAAAGAAGACCTAAATAAATGATAAAATATAACATCTTTATGGGAAGACTCAGCATAGTAAAGATATTAATTCTCCCCAAAATAAATCTTACGATTTAATGCAGTTTCAATGAAAATCTCACTTGGATTTTTTTGTACATATTGTCAAATCGATTCTAAAATTTATGTGGAAAGACAAAGGAATTAGAATAGTCAGAACAATTTTGGGAAAGAACAGTAAAGTTGGATGAATCATACTACACAATATTAAGACTTACTAGAAGGACAAACATATGGCATAATAGTTATGTCGCTGGACTCCTATGTAGTCGACTATGAATCGAGTCCAGGACCTGGTGGTTGGAAACTCGTGCTGGGTGTGTGTGCATGTGTACCCAAAATCCCAAGAGGAGAAGGATTGCAGTGTGGCCATCACCCCGGGGAGTGATTTCTCGTTTCCTGTCTCTCTGTCTCTCCAGTGAGTGCATGCAGCCTATAACAAAAATCTCTCTTAAGAAAAAATAGAGACTTACTGGAAAGTTCTTTTAATCAATATAGAGTGCTACTGGTGAAGAGACTGTCACATAGGGAAATGGAAGAGAATGAAGTTCAGAAATAAATCACATTTTGGAAGTTTCTTATACAATTTTAAACTTAAATATATACATACCATACAATCTAACAAACCTACTCTTGGAGAAATGAAAATTTAGATTTATGTAAAACCTGTACACCAGTGTTGGAATCAGCTCTATTTGTAATCACCCATACTGGAAACAACCCAAATGTTCTTAAGTGGGCAAATGGATAAATGAACTATGGTATATCCATACAATAGAATACTACTCAGCAATAAAAAGGAGTGGATATATTGATATATATGAACTATTGATATATATACTACGTCTTGGATGAATGTCATCAGCATAATGTTGAGTGAAAGGAATCAGTCTTAAAAATCATGTGTCATATAATTCTATTTTTGTGACATTCTCAAATCTATCCAAAGGACAATATTGAATCATGGTTGTGGGAATTAAGATAGGGGTACAATGACCATAGAAGGGCAGCACAGAGGGTGGTTGAACTGATGGAGCTGGTCTGTATTCAGATCATAGTACTGGTTACATGAATGTACATATGTGTTTAAACCCATAGAATTGTACAACACCAAAATTTAAAAGGTAATTTTTAACATAGATTTCTTAAGAAAACACATTCAGAACTGGAGATATGATATTTACTTAAGTAGAAGTCATTACGAGGAGCAGCAGATGGCATAAAAGTTATGTTGCTGGACTCCTACATAGTCAACTGTGGTTTAAGTCCTGGACCCAGCGGCTTAAAACTCATACCGGGTGCACATGCATGTGTGTCCATAATCCCAAGAGGAGATTGGAGGAGAGGGGATTATGGTGTGGTCATCCTCCCTGGGGTGGTAATTTCTTGCATTCTGTCACTCTGTCTCTCTGGTGAGTAAATGTGTTCTATAGCAAAAATCTCTCAAGGAAAAAAAGAGTCATTATGTGATAATATGATCTTCTAGGATTTTAATGCCACAGCCAATTTTTTTTCTGCTCAAAATATTACTTTCTTATAAACTATCCTGAAATCTTCAATTTTACTTAGACTTTGTTTCAGGGTTGAGTGTTATTCCTTCCTGACTGAATTATTCTAACAGTGTTATTGATGAAAAGAGTGGCTATCATTATTCTTTTGTGATCATGCTTAGGTGAAGCAGATTGAGTCAGGCACAATCCAGTTCCAGTTCTCACTGAGCTCAGAAGATCACCTGGACACACCTACAGAGCTTGCCAGTGGCCCCAAGGCAGAGCGGCGGCCCTCCAGGAAATCACCCACATCTCCTTCAAGTAAGTGTCAATTTCTTAAGCACACAGCATGACTTTCATCTGTTCTCTTGAAAAAAAAAATTAGTCCAGTATAATAATCGTCACATTTATAAGATAATCACCACAGATTGCTGGAATTTGCACAGTTAGTTGGGTATTTACTTAATACAGAGATGTGGAATTGGACTGTGACGAAGTGCAGCTCAGGAGTTTGTCACCTGTGCCTCATCCTTGAGTCATCTTTTTGACTTGATGTCTCCTTGACCGAGCACCTATGGACAGTTCTGTGATGCCTAAAGGACACCTTATGTGGGTGACTTGTAGACCTGGGCCTGAGAATTAGAAGTTAGTAGAGAGCTATGTTGGACTGCTGGCTCTATTGTGCATTTTTAAAATTTTTTGCCCCAGAGGGTGTGTGTGCTCTCTAGAGAGAGAAAAAGAGAGAGAGGACCCCCCCCACACACACACACACCCCAGCCCCATGGGGCATAGTCAATGTAATCCTTTTCCTTCCATTTCTCCATATCTTTGGGATTCGGGGCACACGTGCACCTGTGCCTGGTGTGTTCCTCAAGCCACTGGGTCCAGGATTCGAACCATGGTTGGCCAGCTTCCTGTGCACAGTGCTTTATCACTGTGCTATGGGGTTGGCAGTCTATTTTGCACTCTTAATACCTCTATATTTCTACTGTTTGTGAAACACTGTGACTTGGAAATCTGCTATCTTAGTGTGTGACTTTAACAAAGGGAGTCATAATTGGCTGCAAGCAGCAAAGCATGCTTTAACCACCTATACACACATAATTTGTCCCTACCATGCGCTGTGGTGGTGACAAATTATGTGTGTATAGGTGGTTAAAGAGCTATTGCTGGTTGTCAGTTTAGCATCTGGTTGGCTCAGCATCTTCTACTCTGGCCAGCACGCTGTGTTCAGGGCCCCTTAGTTTAGACCCATGTCCTCATCGAGAATTCCATCTATGATTAAAGCCAGGAGTATGTTGAAGTCCACCCTGAGTGAATATGGAGCCTTGCCCTTAAACTGCTGGAGCTCTTACCAGCTGAAAGAAAATTCCAACACTCCTAAATCACGGCTGATGACTCTCTTCTCTCTGCTGGTTCCAGATGAAAGAAAATGAACAAACACGTAAGCCTGCAGAGGGCAGTTCCCATTCCTCCATCCCAAGGTCTTTCCTCTAGCAGTGGTGCCCAGGTATCCAGGGAGGACATGTCTTCTCTTCCCAGCTGAGGCTCCTGAGGCCATGCGAGTGATTTCTGTCACTCCAGAGTGATTTTCTTTATGATTTGAGATTCTAGTTTATGGAAACTGGTCTTGTGGAATTAAGTTTTACAGCGAGGGCAGTAGCACACTTATTTCTTTAACCTAGTACTTGATATGCTGGCCTCCCTTTTCATGATCTTTCAGGGTTTTCTGTCGAAAAATAGTCAGATACCAAAACTTAATACTTGACTGCTTAAGGACAAACCACATGCATCAATTATTATCCTTCTTTCAAAGAGGCAATGCATATGATGGTTTAAATGTTTTGTTCTTTCAGTTTTTTAATTTATTCTGGCCACTTGTCCTCAGGATTTTTGTTTACCACCAATGTATACATTAATACTCCCATCTTCTATGCATGGTCTGAAACATGCAGCACTCCATGTACTTGAGGTATTGCTGGAAGGTCTGCTGGAATCCTTCAGGCGGGGAGTGGTGAGCATTTATTTTCTGCCAGTCAGTTTAGAATACATGTCTGTGACTCCGTCGTGGTGGGACAGTGGTTGTGCAGTGCTCTGCAGTGCTAGGAGCCATGGTTCCTAGGTTGACTTGTACATGCCAGGTGTGTGTGCCTGTAATCCTGGCTAGCTGGGAAAGGCTAGGGAAGAGAGTCTAGGTATGAGTCCCTGCTGAAGGTGCCTGCCTTTCTCTGCCTCTCTTTCTCATGAAAGATAGAAATAAATAAACTCTAAGAAATTTCCAATTTTATGTGATAAAGTTGAATGCATTGAAGGTATAGGACACATAGTTTAAAAATACTAAACAGGGCCAGCTTTATGGCCTAGTGATTAAGGGGTCCAGAGTCCACATGGCCAACTGTGATTAGAATCCTAGGCCCAGTGTTTTGGAAAACATGCTAGGTGCTAGTGTATACCCCAAGTGCTGATGAGAAAGAGGAGTACAGGAGGAGGGGTTGCAGCTTGTTCGTGCCCCATTGTAGGGTGCGTTCTCTCTCTCCTTTACTTTCTGCCTCTGGCAATGCAGACTCCATCTGGCAATTAAACAAAAAAACCTTCTTTTTACTTACTTACTTGTTTACTATTTTTTAATTTGCTGTAGGGCACATTGCGAGAGACAGAGAGAGAGAAACAAAGCTGCCAGAGACTCAAACCATATAGGACTTCAGCACCTTAACCACCACACCATCTGCTGACCCCAGTACAAGCATGGTTTACCATCCTTGTTTGCTAATTCTAATGCTATTTAAAGTCTGGATCAGTTTGTTATTAGACAGTGTCTCATTGGGTCACTATTCTCTTGCCTCAGCCTCTGGAGAAGCTAGAACTATAGGTGTGCTCTTTTAGATATGATATCAGCTTGTCCCATGTTGGCTGTGAGCTCATGATCCTCCTGCCTCGGCCTCCTGAGTAGCTGAGACTACAGATGCATGCCCTTCTGCCTGGCTTTATAGGGTGGGCAGGGAACCATATCTAGGCCTCTGTGTGTGTAGAGTGTCAGCCAGTAAGTGCTACTGCACCTGGGTCATGGGTCAGATTGATTTTTTTCTTAAATCAGCTTTTGTCTTTGGATTGTATTTTCCTGCCTCCTTGTGTGTCTGTTAATTTTTGACTGGATTCCAGATACTGGGAATTTTCTGTTACTGGGTGTTGAATATTTTTGTATTTGGTAAATATTCTTAAGCTTCAAAAATGGTTTGGTCCTGGAACCAGCAGATGCGTAATGGTTATGTTGCTGGACTCTCACATAGTCGACCGCAGTTTGAATCCCAGACCCTGTGTCTTAAAACTCATGCTGGGCTATGTGTGTACATGCCCACGATCCTAAGAGGAGAATGGAGGAGAAGGAATTACGGCATTGCCATCCCCTCTGGGGGGGTGATTTCTGTTTCTCTGTCTCTGATGAGTCTATGGGCACTATAGCAAAAAATCTCTCTTAAAAAAAATTGTTTGGTCCTTTTTCGCCTTCCTCTTAAGATTCGTTAGGTGGGACCAAATCGGTGTTTGGTCTAGGGCTAATTATTCCCCACAAGAGCTATTTGAGTACTCTGCCCAGTGTCCCGTGCAGAATGAGGTATACCAGTTGGCTGGTGGGAATGGTCACTATTTTCAGCCCTGTGAACACCAAGTAGTGTTTCCCATGATTCTTTCTGGTGGTTCTTTTTCTGTCTTGGTTGGTTTTCTAATCAGCACTCTACTAAGTGCTGGAAGAGGACTTTCTGTGAAAGTCCCTTTCTAGTGGTCTGTTCTTTGAACTTAGTTTGTCTCTTTGGAGTCTTAGCTCTGTCTTCTCACATCAGGGTTCTCTGTGCTCTGGCTGTGATTTGAATCCTAGCCCCAGTGGCTTGGAAAACTGGGACTGGGTTTCTGCTCTCCTCTCTGTGCTGACCACGCTCACTGAACACAGTAGGCTGGAGCAGTCAGAGGTCTCTCCTTGATTTTTTTCTCAGCATCACTCTCCTTTGTTGCCTGAAGTCCAGTGTCTTAGAAACTATTATTTTATATATTTTGTTTGTTTGGTTTTGCTTTTGTTATTTGTTTGTTTAAGATAGGGGGAAAATTTACATATTGTTATTCCATGTGGCAAGAAGTAGGAGTCTTTGACTGGTGTTAATGTTTCTAAGCTGTTGAAATCACTCGTCCCCATGCATGTATTTTCATGACTCTGAGTCTTAGCTTCTGCTCTCTGCCTGGGATGTATGTCTTCTGTGTACTGTATTATTGTAACACATAGTCTTTTAACATATTTTTTTTGTTATTGTTATTTGTTAATGAAAAAAATTATAGTTAAGAATAGCTAAGGCAATTTTTTTTACATTTTTTTGAGAGGTTATTTATTTATTTATTGTCGCTATAGGGCATGTGCCAGAAAGACAGAGAGAGACAGAGAGACAGAAAGCGAGAAATCACCTCCCAGGGGGGGATGGCCATGCTGCAATCCCTTCTCCTCCATTCTCCTCTGAGGATCTTGGGCATGCATGCACACGCGCCTGGTGTGAGTTTAAGCCACTGGGTCCAGGACTCAAACTGAGGTCAACTACATGGGAGTCCAGCCACATAGCCATTATGCTAACTACTGGTCCAAGCTAAGGCAATTTTAAAGAAGGAAGACTGTACCTTTTTTGATTTACAGACTTACCATAAATTTATAATATCTAGAAGAAATACAGCATTGTTACAGAGATAGGTAAATAGATATTTAATAGAATAAAATAGGTCCAGCTTGTGGTGTAGTGGTTTAGGCAGCTGGATCCCACATGGCCAATTGTGTAATTCGAGTCCTGGACCCATTGGCTTAAAAAACACACAGGGTGTGTGTGCTTGTGTGCCCCAAATCTGGAGAGGAGAATGGAGGAGAAGAGATTGTGGCATGGCCATCCCCTCTGGATGGTGACTTTTTTCTCTCTCTCCCTCTCTGTCTCTCCTTGACAAGTGTACACACCTATAGAAAAATAAACAAGCAAACAAAAAAGACAGCAGGACAAAATAAAAAGCAATAAGTGACAACTTTCTATGAGTTTCTTATTCCTCTTAAAACAAATGATCACAAATATAGTAGTTTAAAACAACACAGACTTATTATCTTACAGTTTTGGAGGTCAGAAATCCAAAATGGGCTCACAGGCTTAAGTCTAGGTTTGGCAGGGCTCTCTCCCTTTGGAGCTCAAGAGGAGAATCATTCCTTGTTTTTTTCTAGTTTCGTGAGGTGCCTGCATCCCTTGGCCTTTCTGCCTCCATTTTACTTGTAAGGACTGTTGTGATTACATTGGGCTCACCCAGGAAAT